TCATTCTCTTATGTAATATCTTACATAATCTCTCTACCTCTCTTTACCTATTTCGGTAAAAAGGGTACAATTATTGGAAGGTTTACTTTCATTGATTATAAGGTAAGTATTTTGTTACATCAAAAAAATGGGTTTATTTTAGACAATATTCAATTTAATGTAAATCAAATTTAAACAAAAATTATGAAAATTTATTAAAATGAACTTGAAAAAAAAAACAAAAAAAAGATGAACGAATAGCCTAATTTTTATATATAGTTGAAATCATGAGTCAATTGAAGCTAGACTACCGTGGAAAACCTGAAAGCACTGCATGACAGATTCGTCCTATTGTGAGACTCCTCAGCAGTGCTCATCCACGATCCTGCCTCGCGAGATTCAAATAGTCTAATTCTAAACAAAATAATTGTAATAAAATTTATCTGTTATAAGTAGTTTATTTATAGGAAATTTCAATTATATAATCAGTTGAACTTATGTTTTAAATAAAGAAATGTTTTTTTTAATAGTTGAGTTCATAAATGAATTAAAGTCAGACCACCATGGAAAGCCTGGAAGCACTGAACGACCATATCCTCCTAGTATGGGGCTGCCTAGCAGTTTGAATCAGCGATCCCTCCAGCGAGATTCGAACCCAGGACCTTGAATGTCAAACAGAAACATGTAAACTCTAGACCACTGAGCTGGCTGGCATCTAATAATGTTAATGCCTAACTCCAACCAATCCATGAAATTGGGTGAGACTAACAAGTTCTAGGTTCGAATCCTGCGGACGGGATCGTCGATGCGCACTGTTGAGGAGTCTCACAATAGGTCGAAATGGCCATCCAGTGCTTCGAGGTTTCTCATGATGGTCTAACTTTATTTGACTCATGAAATCAACTATAAAATTAGTAAAATCTCTACAAAACTCCTCTATCTGATCATAAGTTTCTTGTTTTTAGATTTGAAACAATCTTGTTTTATCCACAGTAAACATAAATAGAGAATCACTTTATTTTATTGTAGTTGAATTGTGTATAAGAAAACAAGAGATAATGTTTAATTGAATTCAAATTTTAGACAACGTATAATCGATAAGAGAAAAATTTTCCATTACTTACTTAGATTCTTTCAAAAATATTTATTACAAGTAACAGTATGTTGAAATTTCTTTTTCTATTGGCTGCTTGAATCTTACTGATAGTCTTTAAGACTGCAATTGATCAGTCTCTTATTGACATATGTGTACCCTCTGTGGATTGTTTCGATATTGCCTTACTTTACAGGCATCAGAAACAAATATTGATGGTGGCTAGCAGTGGAATCCAAGACATACGTTTCTTTCTGTCCGGGATTGGTCAGTAGGATGTACCCACATCCATGATTTGATGTTCACTATGAGACTCGAACCCAGAAAAAATGTTTATACGTAATGAAAGATAATAGTATACATACTTAAAGAAATGTTTTTATTGACATGTAGAAATATTAGTGTTTCATGAACTGTTTATGATGGAATACAATAGTAAAAAAACTTTTAAATAATGCATATATTTCAGTTCTAATGTAGTGTTCTGTGTTTTTCCATATTTCCTAATAGTTTCATATGCTTCGCTTTTGACTATATTAAGTTTTTATGTAGATTATAGACTCTAATATGACTGAACGATTATCATAATAAAAAAATGTGATCAACTTTATGTAATTTTTGCCAACTAATCACGTTAATGAAACATAGAAATAAAAGGTTGAATAACAGTTACGCAATAAATTTTGTTGCGTTAGTTTTGTGAGCTGTGTTCCGCCATTTATTTCGGTTGTTGAGATATACAGTAACTTTGATATGGCATTAGAACTGCTCCTCGATACACTAATCCTAGTCCTTCTATAAGGGATAATTGTTTCTGAACTTATACTTCACATTGTTGTAATCCATATAACAAATATACTCCCACAATAACTGATGAATAAAATCATTTCAAAAAATTTAACTTTATGTTTCTGTGCTTTACATGTAACATTGCTTTTTCTATCAACCTTGGGTTCTGTAACTATTTTCAGAATATGAATTTATTTATTTACTTATATATAGATATTGTTTACAAAAAGTGAACTGACATGGGAAATTCAAAAAATTTGACGGATTCAAATAGGTGTATTTCTAAAAACCTACTCAGTAAGTAATGCATAGATGACAGACACCCATAAAGCAAACTCAATTAAAAATTATCCACAGTTAACAACGAATAATCACACGAACACATTTACTGAAGTAGATGAGTAATAATTAAGTCAAACGGAGATGGATATGTATGCACACAAACTAATCAATGATGTTATAATTGAACATCCAAAGATCAGAAAAATGTCACACAACAGTTTGTGTTAGTCTATTATACAACCTTAAATTTGATACAGTTTATGATTAGTAATACGTAATCACTACGAGTTCCAAATACTGCAAAGGCTTTTTATGCTTCTAGTACTGACGGTGAAAGATGAATAACTTTCTGAGATGCTACATCACTACCACACTTATGTAAGTCAGTGTAACGTGCATTTCATCTTAAATGGAAACAACGTTGTATAATTAGAACAAAAATATTGTGAAACCTTAAAAATTATAAAAAAATAATGGTAACTATACGTTTATGGCTCATAGACTAGGGGATAAGTCAATCAAATTCATTTAAACGCTGTTTAGTGCTATCATACAATCTTAAGAAGTTATTTAGAGTATAATTTTACAGACTGCTTAACAAAAGAATAAACTTATTCTAATAAAGTTATTCATATGTCATGTATAGGAACTCAATCATCTTAAAGTCACATTTCAGATTAAATAAGCTGATGACAAAGCTCTCCATTAAATATGGATGACAAAAGGTAGTGAACCGTTTATTACAGACAAGTAAATTTGAAAGGATAAAGTGAACACAAACAGTAAATTCAATAAAACTGGATCGCGGATCCAAGTTTGTCCTAACATAGATTAGTTCACTGGATGGACCAACATCCAACTGTTGAATACACTACTAGCCACTAGATGAATAAAAATTTTAGAAGTAATGACAATATCGAAGCAATCCACTTAATTGCACAAATATCGAAAGAGATTTGTTTATTCCAGTCCGAAGTATCCTCAACAGTACAACACAAACCTTTTTATTATTTAGAAATTATTTTTCCGTTTGCCACTGTATTACTCTAACTATCAAATATTGAAGTTTTCGAGTCGACTGTTAGTTTCTTTCCTAAGAATGATATCATTTCATTACCTATCTTTCTTCAGTAAGTTTATTATTATTGTTCAAACTTTAAAAATTCTACAATCTCTACAAATTCTTCTACTGATAACAATCATTTGCTCACTAGCTTCTAGATAAAACTCCCGGAGTTTTGGTAGGGAGCTATGGCCAATTGAGCTTAACTATGTAAATTGAAAGGAAGTTATTTATGTAAGGCGATAGATGGGAGTTGCGTAATACGGGGGATTGATTGAAACTGAACATTCATATCGTTGAACACCAGCTTGGTGGTCTAAGTGTTCTATTCCCGGATACAGAACCGTGTATTTCCACTGACGAATAGTTTCATAATAAAACAAAATAACCGTCCAATGTTTCCAGATGTCAAGTGGTGGTTGTTTCGTGATATAGGCTCAAAATTCTACTATCTATATTAATTCTCCATGATAAATATAAATATTAAAATGATATATTTATCTGCAACCTAGTTTTCATAATGACAATGTGATCGAAATATTTCAGCCACATTTATAGGAAACACACGTCAATGATAATTTAGTTTTTATCCGGTCTAATCAAAATTAGTTGTTTTTTTTTACATCAATGATGTTTATGCTTCACTGGACTTTTTCAGTATGATTCGTATTAATTCATACGACAGTTAAAACAATTAAGTTTGACATGTTAATTGTATTAACATTTTATAAAGAGAAACCACTCCGGATATCGGAAGGGTAACTGACCTGTTAATTATATCATAACTTTAATTAATGGTAAATCGTTTATGACATTAATCATCTGTGAAATTACAAAAAGAATTACTTTGAATATTACGGTCTTTTTGTTATTTGGAATTCACTCAAAATCATATATTGTTTTAAATATTGTACTCAAAAAATACACTGATTGAATTAGATTATTTACAATTGAACTGGTTCGGACTATAAAAATAATCAAAATATCTTTTCTAAATTGACCACTTGAAGTTATAGAATATTGAAAGGTGTCTATTATTATCAATAAATATGAGGAATAGAAACAGTGTTTGCATTGATGAAACGTAACTTGAAAACTAAAATTGTAATATCTTGTGATATACAGAACGTTCAGGTTTTCAACGGTGGTCTAGCTTAGATTGCCTCCTAAATTCAACTGCTAAAATACTATAATCTTCACAAATTCTAGCATTGTTACCGATCATATACCCACTAAGGATTAGCTTTAAGATGTTGCTTATGGAGTTTTCATGAGAAGCCGATACCAGTAGAAACCAATTCATGCCGGATGTTAAACGGATATCAACTAAATGTAATAGATGAAGGGTTAGACAAAGTCATGGATTGTTTGACGTTAGATAATAATATAACTTTGTGCTACCTCAGTGGTTTAGAATCTAAGCGTTTTTTCGGAAGATCGAAGGTCCTGGGTTCGAGTCACGTATTATATGGGATCATTGATGCACACTGGTGATCAGTCTCATACCAGGAAGAAATAGCTGTTCAGTGTTTTCAAGTTTTCCATAGTTGTCTACTTTAGATTGATCCAAGAATTCAACTGTTAAAAATACTACAATCTCGACAAATCTCCATGCTCATGAAAATTTTTTTTAAAATTCTTCTATCAATAAATCTACTCAAGACTATTTTCAATTAACAAAAAAAAATCAACGTTTCTAATTAGTTTGAAATTTTTTTTCATCACAACTTATTTCTGATTGGTTCATTTGTGTTTGTTTTGTTTTTTTTAATTCTTTTTGACTTATACTACTTGTGGGCGTTTTATCAATGATAATTTACTAAACAACTCAAATATATATATTCTGTTTATCAATATTAAAAACTATTATATTAAACCCATTATATATATACTCTATATTTGATATAAGTACCAAGTGATTGGAACATTAGAAGTGATGTTTTGAAAAGTATTCCAACTTTTTTTTTTGACACTTAATTTTGTTGTCGAACCAGTAAGTTATACATTCAAGTTTATATTACATTTTTGATGTATTCATTAGTTTCATTAAGAAAATAATTAATTGTCTATTTAAAGTGTGATTTTCAAGTGGATTTATCTAACATGTTTGAATTCAATAGAAATTATTATCTCTTATGTTCAAAGATAAGAATAAGGAGACTTTTTCTGAAGGTATTATACTCTCTGGAGCTTAGTCCATTTAACGAAGTATTATGAACAAATATATATATAAATATGATTATTAACTTTATTCAGTAACATATTTTTGGTACAATATAGAATTATCAGCAAAAAGTATTTAGACGAGTTTTTGTTTCTTACTTCTTCGTCGATCCTAAAGATAAATATTTAGTGATCGCCAGTTCAAAGTTGGTAGTCCCATCAATTAATATCTATATAATGTACTTTCTTTACGTTGCATATTGCCAGCAACCACGATATCTCTGATTAGGCTTTTTGAACTTTGTACATCGAAATATTGTACACTTTTTATAAACACACTTGAATGGGTTATCCGAATAATAGCCATAATGATGTATTAAAACGAATAAAATTAGATAACTTGTTGAAATATCTAGATAGTAGAAACAGGTAGCACGACTATTTGTATCTTTTTAATTATTAACTAAATCATGATCTCAATAACGATCTATGAAAATTTAAAAAAATGTTACATTTCACAACTTCACTTTTACTATATCAAAAAATGAATCCCATCGCTTACCAATAATGTGACTAAAACTCGTTACTAAATGATAAAAGTTATTTAATAATATCTAAATGGATAGAAAAATCAAATTTCCTGATTGATTTTTTGTGAAACAATATAAAATACTGTTAAACTAAAACAAAGTTTCGATTTACAATAATAATTGATCATGAATGTTCCCCAGATGATGTAATTTTTATAGCGATTATGAATGCTGAAGAAACCTTCGGTATTATCGAAATCCTACCTCGAATAAGGTTAGATCACTAATGTAAACCTGAAGTTTAGAAAATTTCTCCAAAAAATTACTTTACTTACTATAACAATCTAATTATATAGAATGTTTGTTTTGTTGGTTGTATTTAATTTGGTAAAACAAATTTCATTATATAGTAACTGTATCGTTGGTAAACTATTAAATTTCAATGATTCATTCCTATACATTTCCTATATAATATTTCATATTTATTCAAGCCCTCCAGCACTGTGAATTCCTAATACTAGACCTAATGAAATTCATTCATTATATGAATATTGTTTTATCTAAGTTACATGTTAATATATTTTTTAAAATACATCTATTTGTATTCTAAAACAAAGAACAAGTCTATTAAGCATTTTTGAAACTTATCATTACTGATCAGATTGAGTTTTATAATCTGTTTTGTTTACTTGAGAAGTATGTAATGGCCTAAATCTGATTCCTTTTTGATCGTACGTACTGTCTATCCTCGTATGTAATAAATGACTTTGGTGAATAACGGAATTAAATAAGTCAAATACGAGAATGGATTTAGAATACATATATTTCCTACACTCATTGATCTGGCCAGGGAATCAGAACGATAAAGTAAATAGATGAGAGCAGAACATAAATGACATGCAGTGGAGATGGCGGAGAAGCCAACTCGAGAGCGAGGCGAAAGATTATGCGTAGTGGAGATGGCTGGGAAGCCAACTCGATTTAAGCAAGCGTTAATCAACATTTATAGTCGCACAAAAATGAGTGACAGACAATATGATGAATAAGATACGAAGTGTACACATATATGCTCATATAAAAGTATAGCCAAGGTTAATAAGCGAATGATGAACAATATGAAAATATGACTCATAATGGATAGGCGAATTGGCTTGGCAAGTAACTAGAATAAAGTATATGGGCTTAACAAATAAACTGATACTACAAGTAGTCATTATTGTTTACTTTAAAGTGATAGCTTGACAAAGTGAAATCTTTTCAATGAAACAACTTAACGACTAATCTTTCAATATTTCATCATTAATTACCAATCAATAAACCTTGTATAAGTAAATGTTCACACACACACACACACACTTATTACCATCTATATCATTTCATTTCAAAAGTTATCATACACATAGAAAAGTTATTTATTTAGCCTAAATACTAACTAACTAGGAAGATTATATTGTTGTAACACATTTCTTTTCAACTTTCATCATTTTAATTGTTGTCAGGTAAAAACAATCTATGTAAATAGAAAAAGCATATTCTGTTATGATATAATAATACTAATACTTCATCACAAGATATATAGCTAATCAGGAATAGGGAATGGAAGGTACCGAACTATTATTCTAAATTAAAACTTTCCAACAGTATTTAGGATTGAATGAGTAAACTTCAAATCACCAAAACACAGTATTAACATTAAATCATCCGGTTTGGTTCTATTTGGTTATAAACAAGATTCATCATATGACATTTCTTCAAATTAGCTCCTTATAAAATTTGATTCATACATGTAGAAAGATTAGAAGAGTTCATAACTCGCTGAAGTCTTTGTCATGAATATTTTGATTACTTGACTTTAATGATTAAAAACAAAATCCATTTTATGGCTAGTATTAATGTAGTGAACAAGTTTACAAGTGAGGACAATCGAACGCATTTAACAGCAAAATTATAAACTATCTTACTAAAATCAGATAGCCATACAGTAAACCGGTAATTTGCAAACTACCAATTAATTGTCTCAATCTTGACTGTTCCTTCCGCAAATATCAATCCATCCTCTCTGATTTTATTGTTCATGAATTTTCATACAAATCGCATTCCCTTCCCGTTCTTTCCTTATCAATCTTCTACTGAAGTACATTCAATGCCCAACCATAATTATATACTACTTATATGGATATAAGTAGCTAACACCACAGTAGTCTAAACATTATGATACATTTCAAATTCATTAGCTCATTTTTTTTCAGTACAAAATTGAAATTTTCGTATATTTGTTTATAATAAGTAACCGACAACTGGACTCTATAAGTAATTCAAAGGTAAATATCAATTTTGTAGGTAAACGGAAATCAATACAAATAAGACCTACATGAAAATCATAGGTGAATTTTGTTTTTTCTCACACCAATTTCTTTCCTATCATTTTCAATATTGTAAGTAAAAACTGATTGTCACCTTTATAAGGTATCATGTTTTCATTCATTGATATATTATTATTTAAAACAGATAACTAATTGGTTTCCCATAGATATATAACCTAACATTTGTTTCCAAATTGTATGTATATTTGTTCCAAGTCATATATTGTAATTCATTGTGGTTTAGTATTAATATGATATAATGTTGATTAATTAGATAACATAGAGTATATCATGTTGATAGCTAACAAACTTTATACAGTGAATATATGCAAGAAATATAGTTTATTTAATACTAGGTAAAATTATTAATGACTATGATTACCGCATACTGTGTAGATTGCTATAAATCCAAGTATCATTTAATGTTTGTAATTAAAAACTAATGTGGTGTGTGATATTGATATAGACAGATATAAGTAGTATGTATCATCAATTGAAAATAAAATGACTGGAAGAAGAAGGTTCAAAAGATCAACGAAAGAGAACGAGAGCAAAGAATGATAGGTGTGGAAATGATTGAACAATGAAATCTGAGATAATTGACATTTTGTAAACGAAGTATTTACTGTACGGTTCTCAGATTATACTGAGATGTTCCGTAATTCTTTAATCAAATACATTCGATTGTCTCCACTTGTGTTCTCATTCACTAGACTAACTATTGATTAATTATCAGTATAGTGTGAACTTAGATTCAGCTTTTCATTATTTCACACTATATCACGTATATTTAAGAAGTTTATTTGTTATACTCTAAGCTATTTCAATGCTAAATCAATGTTGAATAAATAAGACATTATTACTCCATTTTTATATTGGTTGTTTGAGTTTCCCCATTGTTGTTTACGACTGCGATTGATCATGTATATCAATAAGAGACTGATCAATCGAAGTTCTAAATATCAATGGGAAGATTTAAAAACCTATACGAAAATGAAATAGACTTCACCCGATTGCAAAAGCTTATGACTGTTTGGACTCAATAGTTATGTGGACAACGTGATGGCTTTTGAAATCAACGTTAGTAATTTTGAGTATTGGAGTGAATATGAACTTTGAGATGCAGTTACATTTAGCGGACGAGCGACAAATCGAATGAAACGTGAATCTTGGATTCTATTGCCAGCAACCATCCAACTCTGCCAGTAAGACATTATTTTGTTTTTCTAATCGTTCTAATGTTCATTATAATATAGTGGAAAATTCTGTTCAGCATGATTGAATTATTGATGGTCTTCTAGCGATAAAACTGATAACATAAATATCACATCTGGTGTTAAAAATTATTTTGTGAAATTATGGGAGTTTGTTTAAGTTGACTTTTAATTTTACATACCAACCAATCTGCACAGTATTGGGAGGACGTGACGTTTACCGCCTCCGGAAATTGACTATTCATTTAAAATCTTTTAGAACAGATATACTGTGACTGTTGTTAAAACATGATATACAGTTTATGAGTTTCAACGATCCTATCTGGGAAGTTCATTGTGAATATCGTTAAGTGCACTATTTTTTCTATCATAAGGACATATAATTAATGAATATCATTTTGTTTTATTTACATACAAGAAAGCATTAGCAAAGAATTAGGCTATACTTCATTAACTCATATCATTATAATAGTTGTCAACTTATACCCAAGACATACAATATATAAAAATCAAAATTACTAACAAAATGAACATAATCATATCAGCGTAATTGGTTACATTTAAATGTGTAGCTTTATGGCAAAATGATGATTAGAATAAAAAAGATAAGATTGTAAAAACACCTGAAAAATAATTGAAAACAAGTGCAAAGTGCAATTCAATTTTCTGTTGGTTGCTTGTATCTTTGCATTGATATTTGGGACTGAAATTTATCAGTCGCTT